CATTTCTGTTGGGATTTATTTACCTTCTATAATTGAAACTTAGTAGCCTGGAGTGGAGGCCTAGGCCAGCCAGGGTTATAGAATCTTGGCTTCCTTCATCACCCTGGGTAACCCTAGGCTCTTGCTCTTCCAGCTCTGTGGCTGCTGCCATATCTGTTGGCATTTATTTACCTTCTATAATTGAAACTATAGCATCGAGTGGAGGTCTAGGCTGGCAAGGGCAGGCAGAAAGCTTGGCTTTCTCAATTGCCCAGGAAACCCAAGCCTCCCTCATGCTCTATGTGGTGTTTGCCAATTTAATTATAATGTGCCTTGGTGTCTGTCTTTTGGGGTTTATTTTGCTTGGGATTCTGTGAGCTTCTTGGATTTGTGTAGATTTTTTCTTCCCTATATCAGGGATTTTTCTGTCATTATTTCTTCAAATAGGTTTTCTATTTCTTGCTCAGTTTCCTCTCCTTTTGACACTCCTATTATGCAGATATTGTTTTGTTTTATGTTGTCCCAAAATGCCCTTAGGCTCTCTTCCTGTTTTTTAATTTTTTTTTTTTTCTAGAATCTGTTCTACTTGGGTATTTTTTCTTATTTTGTCTTCTAGCTCACTGATGCAATCCTCTGCTTTTTCTAGTCTGTTTATGCTTTCTATTGAGTTCTTTATAGCAGTGATGTCATTTTTAATTTCTTCTTGGTTCTTCTTCATTTCCTCTTGGTTCTTACACTGTTGTTGCATTTCTCTTCCATTCTTTTCATTCCTCTCATGACCATTTCTCTGTATTCTTTCTATGACAGGTTGCTTACCTCCATTTTATTTACTTCCTTTTCTGGTATGCCTGCTTTTCTTTCATATGTGGGCTATTTCTTTGTCTTCCCATGATTTCTCTTCTTCAGTTGTCTTGTTATATAGTTCTCTCTTTCCTGTGTTAATTGAAAGGCACAAATACAACACAATAAGGAACAACACAGAAGGCACTGAACACAAATGTATTCACGATATTAATAACCCCAAATAAAAGTGAATACCAGAGAAAGATAAATTAGAGGATAAAAAAGAAAGAAGAAGAGAAAAAAAAGAGGAGTGCAAAATTGAAACCAGGAAAAGGAAAAAAAAAAGTAGGAGAGAAAAGAAAGAGAATAAGAAAGAAGGGAAAAACTATATATATATATATATATATATATATATATATATATATATATATGAAGAAAACTCCAACAGAACAGTCACTAATCCCATCAAATGCCAGTAACAAATACCTACAGATGAATGCAAACTAGAAACAACAAATAACATCAATGTGAGGGAAAACAGAAGCAAAAACAAACAAACAGAAAACAAAAAAAACAAAAACAACAAAAAAGTGAAACAATCTCACAAACAAGCATAAAAAGACTGATATAATCAACAATCAAGCAAACAACAACAAACAAAAGGACAGAGGGAAAAATTTTTTGGATGGTGATGAAAGAGAAGAGAGAGGTGTATATGGACTTTGAGCAGGGGATTGGGAATTAGATATATAAGCAGGGTGACATTTTAACAGGGGATAAAAAGAAGGAATAGGGGAAATCTAAAGCAGTAATAGGGTAAGAGAAACAGGACAATAAAAGGGGAAAAGTGAGGAAGAGAGTGTTGTCATAAAGGTAAAGTTGAGATAGAGTAAAATGATGCTAGAGGAAAGATGAAAATAGAATATAGAACACTGATTCCAAATTAAAATAAAGAGAAAATAAAATGACACTTTTTAACAAAAGGTAAAATAGTAGTAGTAAGAATACTGACTGAAAGTTGAGACCTCAACCAAAGGCTTGGTCTGATGCCAGCACTGATAATTTCATCTGGGGAAGGTTAAATGGCTTCTCTGAAGTGGGAGTAGTCTTATTTTCCTTATTATATAAGCAAGTAAGCATTTTCAGAAGCCAAATAGCAGGGTTAAAATTTCAAACAGCAGTTTTTATATAAGATGGATGCTTCAATCTGAGTGATGCTGACACACCCAAGGCCAGGACATAGCAGAGGCCAGTTCTGGGGTGAGAAGATCATCCTCTCGGGTGAAGAAGTCTCCATCAGCCTTGCTACTGTGCGAGTGTCCCACATTTAGGCTCCAGTTGCAAGTGCTCCCCCCATTACCACATGGTTCAGGGTTTGGGTTCTGGAGGAGGCCACCCACAAATAAAAGAGATTAGAAAATATTAATTTGGTGATATTGGGGGCCAGGCAGAAGTCCAACTCAAAGGGGAGGTCTCCACCCTGCTCTGGCCTTGCAATCCCTTTTATTAAGATTTGGGATCCACCCATAGCCAGTAATAGCCAATCAGCAAGGATTTATTTACATAAGACTGAATGTGGGAGTTGCTTTAGCTACCATTGTCTCTCCTAAACAGTGAGTGGTTGGCTCTGACCTTTCCGCGCTTCTAAGGTCAACCAGCCTTCCAGGTTCCTTGTCCACACCTCTTTGTTAGTGACAACAATGGGCAGCTTCCGACACTACTGCATTTGTGCTCTAATGCTCTCATAATTTTTAAACAAACAAATTTAGATGTTTAGAAAAAATGTCAAGTGGAACACTAGCATGAGTTTATTAATAAGCATTAGATTTTCACTTCTGTGTTTTGTGGACTGCTGTATGTCCAGCTATAGTGCTTGAGAGAGCAGCATAAGCTGAATAAATGTGTGATAAATGACACACAGAAAAAAAAGGAAAGACAATGGGCTCCACAGGCCAGTAACATCCACCACCCCTGAGGGCACCTCCTGAGTCAGAATCTGCATTTGTCTTTGGCTTTTTAATTTTATGTGTGTTTTTTTTAAGTGATTGATTTTAGAGAGAGAGGAAGGAAGGGTGAGAGAAACATCAATTGTTGTTCCACTTGTTGATGCATTTATTGGTTGATCCTTGCAAGTGCCCTAATCTGGGATCAAATTGGCAACCTTGGCATATCAGGAGGAAGCTCTAACTAACTGAGCTTGCCATCCAGGGCTCTCTGAATCTGCTTTTGAACAGGATCTGCAGATACTCTTGTGCACAGGGGTGGAGTTGCCCTACTCCCAGTTCATAGGTTGTGAGCCTAGTGAGCATCCACATTAGCTGGGAAGCTGATAAGCAGCATTTCTACAGTGTTCTGTAGGTATTGCAGTCTTTACCACCTTCCACAGATGATCCCATGCACAGTGGGGTGACATCCTGGGACAAGAGTTCTCCATGTCACCCCAGGCCATAAGAGAGGCCAAAGGGGGTGCTGCTGGCCAAAGGGAATTACCTCAGCCCCCACCTCCAAGTCCAAGACTCAAGCTTATCTAAAAAGGTAATGTGCCTATGAGGATGGGGGTGGGGTGAAGAATCACTGAGGATAAAAAGACCTCAACAATTCCAGGATCTGACATTTAGATGTAAGGTAACCAGGAAGGTGGGAGCAGAGAGGCAGAAAGGAGAGAAGGATGAGGGAGGGTCATGGGCACAGTTCCCGCCCCCTGCTCATGTGACCAGGGAAGTGATCTTGTCCCTGGAGACGGCTCAGCAGGTCCCACTAGTAGGGAGAGCAGGGCCTGTGAGTGAGTGTTTCTGAACCTCAAGCTCTTCCCACTGAGGGAGGGACACAACAGACAGCAGACACCATGGACTCCTCCTCAGCCCCTGCATCCAGAGGGTGCATTCCTCCACAGGGGCTTCTACTGACTGGTAAGGAAAAGACAATTTCTGGGAGTGGACAAGAAAAGGGGAGACAGAGACTGGCTGTGTTCTCCTGGGGAGCACAGCACTCTGAGAGGGGACAGAGGGCTTCTGAGAGGACAGGGGAACAGAGTATGTTGGGGAGAGGGACACAGCAGCAGGTCAATCCCAAACACCTAGATTATGGTAAGTTTTACAAGTTATTTATCACTGAAATTCTTTCTGAAAACTTGTTATAATAATAACAATTTGTGTCCAGGTGACACAAGAAAAACTTAAGCCAGGGGCACTAAGCATTGTTTTTATCTCCAACCTCAGGAATGGGCACATGCACCCCAGGCGTTACAGTACCCAGGGTCTCATTCTATAACTCACAGGCGCTGGTGGTACAACAGATCAGAAAAACTCTTCCCCCCATAGAACTCACCTTCAATGGAGAGGAGAGAGACAAGGAAAGATCTAGATGTGATGTCAGGAACCCACAAGTGCCATGAGGAAAAGAGAACAGGGACAGGTCAGAAAGTGGAGACACATGTCTTTAGTGTTAACAGGAGTCTGAGCAGTGTCTATTAGCATTTCTGGACTTTAGGAGCCAGACAAGCACCTGGGAGTTTTCAAACAGTAAATAAGGTCAGAGGTGCTAAAGTACTGGTGGCCATGCTGTTGCATTTGACCACAGGAAATACACATACACACACACACACACACACACACACACACACACACACACACACCAAGACTGAGAGATGTTCAGGAGCCAAAGCCTCCATCCCAATACAGAGCTCTAAATCTTGATTAATTTCTCTCCTTCCTCCTAGCCTCACTCCTAACCTTCTGGAGCCTGCCCACCACTGCCCAGCTCACTATTGAATCAGTGCCGCCCAATGCTGCCGAAGGGAAGAACGTGCTTCTCTGTGTCCACAATCTGCCTGCGAATCTATTAGCCTATAGCTGGTATAAAGGGGAAATGGTGGACAGCGACCTTCGAATTGTATCATATGCTACAGATACTAGAATAATTACCCTTGGGCCTGCAAGCAACAATCGAGAGGCAATATGCCCCAATGGATCCCTGCAGTTCCAGAAAGTCACCCTGCAGGACACAGGATTCTACACCCTACAAGCCATAAACAAAGATACTGAGAGCATAAAAGTAACTGGACAGCTCCGTGTATACCGTGAGTGGTTGCTCTCTGTCCTCTGGGTGTTGGTGGGGCATATTCTACTTCACACACAGGACTGACAGCCCTGGACTCACTCTGCCTCCCTCCCCCTCTGCCTCACATTCCAGGTGAGGCATTTAGTTCAGGACTCACAGTGGAGACAAGTTTCCTAAGGTCAGAGTTTCCTTTCCAGATTCCAGCCCTACAGACATTCTCCACAGAGACAAGGTCCTGTCTGAGGGGAGTGACTCAGCAGAGGGAAATCAGTCTTATCCAGGCCCCTGGGCCCCTCCCAACCATGACCCAGAGAACTACCCTGCAGGGCTCATGTAGGGCCTGGCTTGGGGAACCCCTGGGATCCTTATACAGAAGTTCAATTTAGGCAGGCTCCCCTTCCCCTCCCTCGCCCATCCCCAGAACTCTGTCCCAAGGCTCCTGACTCTAGGAAACCCTAGGAGCTTCTGAACAGTTGGGTTTGATCTGTGGGCAGCAGCAATTTCCCAGGTGCCCAAGTCACAAGCCTCCTGAGGTGGTCACCAGCTAGGGCTCAGCCTCAGGAGCCACATCTGAGAAGGGATTGAGCCTGCTCCTTCACCTGCTCCTTCACCTGAGACCATGTGTGGGGAGTACATGGACAGGTCACAGGCTATTAGCCAACTGCCTCCCATCCTGTGGTCATGGACACAAGCAAATCACAGTCTTCCCCTGAGCCCTCCCACTACATATCTGTAGACTCTCCTCCCTACTCTTCTGATCTCTCAAGAGGTTCATTCTTGGAAAGTGAGGAGGGGGCTCTCTCAGCCCCATAAAAAATAAAGTGGTAAAAGGAGGGGGCTTACCAGAGAGGAGAACAAAGGTCCTCAAGGTCAACTTGCTTCATCTGTCACTAACACTTTTCTTCTGTCACCTCTTGTCTGTTACTTGCTCCGTGTGCTACAAGGAATATACAAGGCTTTGAACAAGCTCATCTCTTTTCTCCAAACTAAAGGAGGAAACCACCTCTAAGGAGAGGTGAGCAGGACAGACCCCTATTCCCTGCATTGCTCCAGGCTCACTTGGTGATTGGCTACTCTGTGCCCTCTGTGCATGGGTGGTCTGTCTTCAATCTGGCAATTTTGAGTCACCCAGCAACACCATGGCCTCCCTCAGAGGCCATGTAAATGGGGAGAGAGTGAGCCACAGGGGGGCCTCCTCTGAGCTGTGTCCTGGCTCTGAAGTCACCAGCTGTACAACACTGTGTGATCCAAGTGCATATGACATTGCTGAGGAGAACAGTGAGCAGTGGTGTATGCTTAATAAATAGGTAGATTCATCCACAAAATGGAACAGAAGGAGCAGTGCCACAGTTTGTAGTTTACTGAGGAAGCTAAGAATACCAGTCTTTTGTTCAAACTGTGACTACTCTCTAGGGATTTCCTTCTCTGTGATATTCCATCCACAGGCCAGGAAGTGAACGTCCTATTCAGACTGAGAAATCCTTTATATTGAAACTTCTCCAGGTTTTAAGGTCATGGTTGGGCCATTCTCATTCTCTAATAAACTATTTAACAAAAAGGAAATGCCTTTCCCTCTCTGTGGGTAGCCACCATACCAGAGAGGGGATGTGAGTATTTAGAAAGTCATAGAAACGTCTGGGAAATAGTCACACAAAAGTTAACGGGTGGAGCCCAGCCAATGTAGCTGAGGGGCTGAGCTCCGACCATTGACCTGTGAACCAGGATGTCATGGTTTGATTCCAGGTCAGGACACATTCTGGAGCTTGATTCTGAGTAGAGATGTGATGTTTCAACCTCTTTCTTTCCCAATCCCTTGCCCTCTGAAATCAATTAAAATATATATATATATATTTTAAAAGTCAATAGGTGGAAAATTCCACTTGATGATGAGGATACTGGACACACGGTCTGAGAAGAGGCTCCTGGTGCTGATACCACAGATGTTCAGGGAGACATGCCAGGGGTCATCCTGAGGTGATCTGGAGGGAAGAGGGGAGGCATAGCCCTCTCCTTACAGACTGTCACCTGAACAAAGGTCCTCACCCTGCAAAGGTCAGAGTCCTCCACTGGTGACCTTTACAGAGATCACTGTGGCCTGTGATTGGCTGACATCTCTATGGAAGGAGCCCACTCTCAATCCCTCACCTCCTCTGTTCTCCACAGAGCCAGTGGGGAAGCCCGCCCCCTGAGCCAGCAAAGCCACAGTCACAGAGCATAAGGACACCGTGGTCCTGACCTGCCTCACAAATGACATTGGTTGGGATCTCCATCCGGTGGCTCTTCAAGAACCAGATTCTATCTCACAAGGACAGGAAGAAGCTGTCCCAGGACAACAGCGTCCTCACCATTGACCCTGTCAGGAGGGAGGACGCTGGGGGTTATCAGTGTGAGGTCTTCAACCCCATCAGTTCCAGCAAAAGTGACCCTCTCGAGCTGGACGTACAATGTAAGTGACCTCTTGCCCCATCCTACATCTCCCTGGGAGGATTGCTCTACCAATGGTGTGACAAACGGATAGAAGACACAGGAGGCAGAATGTCAATCAGGAGACATTATAGTAAACAGAATGGCAAAGTAGATTAGAGTTCAATTTCCAACCCTGGGTCTGGCATTCATTGTGCCCTTGCACAAGGTTGTTGTTTTTTGTGCACTCATTTTTTCATGTGAAAACTTATACATAAAATTTACAATTTTAGCTTTTAAGAGTACACCTCAGTGACATTAAATGCATTCACATTGTAGTGCAATCGTTACCACTATCCATTGGGAACTTTTTCGTCTTACCACACTAAAACCCATTAAACAGTAGCTCCTTAACCTCCAACCCTAATCCCTGGAAACCACCATTCTATTTCTGTTTCTATGAATTCTGGAGGCCTGGTTATCAGCCTATTTGTCCCTAACTGCCCTCCCCTGCATTCCTGGTCACCCCTAAATGCCCTTCCCTGCAGGCCCGGTTGCCCCCAACTTCCCTCCTCTGCTGGCCTGGTCATCTCTAACTGCCCTCCCCTGAGGGCTTGATCGCCCCCAAATGCCCTCCCTTGCAGGCCTGGTCCCTCCCAACTGCCCTCCACTGCTGGCCATCTTGTGGTGGCCATCTTGTGTCCACATGAGGGCAGGCATCTTTGACCACATAGGGGCAGCCATCTTGTGTGCTGGAGTGATGGTCAATCTGCATATTACTGTTTTATTAGATAGGATAGAAGCCTGGTGCATGGGTGGGGCCAGCTGGTTTGCTCTGTAGGGTGTCCTAGATCAGGGTGAGGGTTCCCTTGGGGCTTGGGGCAGCCTGGGCAAGAAGGGGCCTGTGGTGGTTCGTAAGCTGGTGACAGCCCCTGGTGACCCAAGTAGAGGCCCTGATATCTGGGATTTATTTATTTTCTATAATTGAAACTTCATAGCCTTGAACGGAGCCAAGCTTCCTGCTTACTTTGTGGCCACAGCCATATTGGTTGGAGTAATTTGCATACTCGCTCCTGATTGGCTGGAGGGCATGGCTTGTGGGTGTAGTAGAGTGATAATTAGTTTGCATATTACTCTTTTGTTAGGATGAGTACTCTAGGTTCTTCATATAAGTGGAATCATGTGATATATGCCCTTTTGTGTCTGGTTTTTTTCACATAGCATAATGTCTTCATTTCATCCATGTTGTAGCATATATCACAACTCTTTTCCTTTTTATGGCCGAATGATATCTTATGGCATGTATCCATCACATTTAAATTATCATTCATCTGTCCATGAATTCTGGGTTGTTTCTATCTATTGTCTGTTGTGAATAATGCTGCTATGAACAAGGGTGTACAAATATCTGTTCAAATCCCTGCTTTCAATTCTTTTCATTTTTTTTGGAGTATTTACCCAGAAGTAGAATTACTGGATCAAATAGTAATTTTTGTTCAGTTTCTTGAGGAACTGCCATGTCGTTTTTCATAGTGGCTGCACCGTTACATATTACTGCTGGCAATGCACAGAGTTCCAGTTTTCCCCATCCTTGCCTACACGTTGTTTTCTGAGTGATTTTTGTTTGTTTGTTTGTTTGTTTTGTTTTGTTTTGTTTTTTATAATAGCCACCTCAACAGGTGTGAGGTGGTATCTCATGGTGTTTTTGATTTGCATTTCTCTAATGATTAATGATGCTGAGCATCTTTTCATGTGCTTACTGGCCATTTCTGTATCTTCTTGGAAGAAATTTCTATTCAGTTCCTCTGGCAATTTTTTTAATGTGATTGTTTTGTTGTTGTTGCTGAGTAATAGTTACTTATACATACTGGATATTAATCACTTATCAGATATATGATTTTTAAATATTTTCATCCATTCTGTGTGTTGTCTTTTTTCTTTGTTAACACTGTCCTTTCATAAATACAATTTTTAAAATTTTGATAAAGTCCAATTTATCTATTTACTAGAGGCCTAGTGGACAAAATTTTATGTAAGGGTAGAGTCCCTAGCAGCTGCTGGTTGAATTAGATGAGATTATTTAGCACAGAGCTTGGCACATAGTAAATACCCCATAACAGCAGCTAATTTTAATATTAATCCTTAATCTTGAGTTCACTAGTGAGGGCAACAGAAATGAAAAGACACAGATGCAAAGTGCTTTAAATTTGGGATCAGGAAGACATTACACACAAAAAAATCATTGGGACATATAGGAAAAGAAAAGAGGAGTTGAGTGCAAAGTCTCAAGCCTGGTTTGTTAGTTTTTATCCCCTGAGAGGGAGCTGCGGTGGGATTACACATACAAATATTTATTTGGAAAAAAAAAAATCCTTGTGAAAAAATCTTTTTTTTTCTCTGTGAAGAAATGAAGGTGGGAGGAGTCTGGAAGATTCCTCTGGCAAGAAGGCAGATCAGGTTATTGTGTAGGAGAAAGAAAAGAAAGATTTAGGTTTGGTGCCATTTTTTTTTTCCATCTTTGTGAATTAACCATGGAAGACAACAAACCATCTGAATGGGAAGTTTTGAAACTATGAAAGATTATTATTCTAGATAAGAATACTTAGAGAACATTTAAAGGATAAAACATTACTGTTTAGGATTCACTTAGAAAACTGAAGCAGAAAACTCCTGACATTCTGCCCTTTTCAGACAATTATTTTCAAGCTTTAGTTTGCACAAGAAATCCTTAGGGTGCTTGTTAAAGTTTCAGGTTCCTAGGCTCTGCTCATAAAAAATGTGACTCAGAATGTCTGGAATGGGAACGAGAAGTTTGCATTTTAGAAAACATCCCAAAGGATTTTGTAGTAGATAGTCTTTGAAAAACATTTCAACATACTGTTTTAAAGGTCTCAAATAACTCTACACAACATTTGTAGACAAAAATAGGCCTAGGATAGTAAGTTTGTTTTCCTAGAATATCTGTGGATCTCATGCAAAAGTCAAAGGAACACAAACTCATAAGATTCAATGATGATGGAAGTAAAGACCCCTCTAACCTAAAGAGCCCTCCAATTGCCCATAAAGATCATCAAGGATGAATATCTGTAATGACCAACCCATTACTTTCACAAGAGGAAAGTAGGAGGCTGCCCTTTAACTCTGCCACCTGGGATTTTGGAAGCTCCAATCGCTTTCCTAAAATGTGATCTTTCTCCATGAGCCCTGGACCTATGAGATGACAACCTATCACTTCCCAATGCACCATCTCTCTGCTAGGTCCCCTCGGGCATCCCTGCTTTCCTGGAGGGAATGCTGTGGACAAAACAAAGGTGTTAGTGGTGACTATTTGGGATGGAATCATCTACTTCTGAAGGAATTACACGTGCCCCTCTCAAGATGGTTGGAGAGCACATGCCTGTTTCAGGTTAGAAAAGTGAGTTGGGGGCTCACAGATTGCCTAACCAGCTCACAGATTGCCTATTTCCACAACCTATGTCAGTGCACCTTCTGCACTGCCCTCCTTAAATGGAAACTCTTTTTTCATGGTATAGGAGCTGGCAGAACTTTTTGCTCTATCCTGAACAGGAAAAAATTGTCTTGCACAAGACAGCTTTAGGTTTATTTGGGGAGTTAAGCCTCAGGAAGAGATCTATTTTAAAATTTCTTTTAATTCAACCCTAGAAGTAGTGAAGGGAAACAGGGTGGACAATACCTTTAGTTCCCCTGCAGCTCTCATTTTGAAGCATGTTGAAAACACCTCCAGAGCCATCTTTTTTCTTTCTTTCTTTATTGATGCAGGTATTACATATGAGTCATTATCCCTCCCACTCTCCCCTCTCCCGCTCATGCCCTCATTCCCTTGGTCCATTGCTTAGGCTTATATGAACGTAGAGAAGTCTTTTGGTTGATCTCTCCCATTTACCCACACCCTCTCTTACCTTCCCTCTAAGGTTTCAGCATCTGATTGATGCTTCTTTGTGTCTGTATTTGTTTTTGTTCATTAGTTTATGTTGTGCCTCATATTCTACAAATGAGTGAATATAAGGACTGTGATAGTTATCTTTCTCTGACTGACTTATTTCACTTAGAATAATGCACCTGAGGACCATCCATGCTATTGCAAATGATAGGAATTCCTTCCTTTTAACAGCAGTGTGGTATTCCATTGTGTAGATGTACCACAGTTTTTTAATCCACTCATCTGCTGATGGGCACTTAGGCTGTTTCCAAATCCTAGCTATTGTAAATTGTGCTGCTATGAACATAGGGGTGCACAGGAGTGATATATCCTTTCTGATTGGTGCTTCTAGTTTCTTGGGATATATTCTTAGAAGTGGGATCACTGAGTCAAATGGGAGTTCCATTTTTAGTTTTTTGAAGAACACTGTTCTCTACAGTGTCTGCACCAGTCTGCATTCCCACCAGCAGTGCACAAGGCTTCCTTTTTCTCCTAATACTTGCCAGCACTTGCCGTTTGTTGATTTATTGATGATAGCCATTCTAACAGGTGTGAGATAGTACCTCATTGTCATTTTGTTTTGCATCTCTCAGATGATTAGTGACTCTGAGCATGTTTTCATATGTCTCTTGGCCTACCTATGTCCTCTTTCAAAAAGTTCCTATTTAGGTTCATTTCTTGATTGGGTTGCTTATCTTCCTTTTGTTAAGTTGTATGAGTTCCCTGTAAATGTTGGAGATTAAACCCTTATTGAAAATAACATTGTTAAATATGTTCTCCCATGCAGTGAGCTTTCTTGTTTTTTTGTTGATGGTTTATTTTGCTGTGCAGAAGCTTTTGATTTTGATGTATTTCCATTTCTTTATTTTCTCTTTAGTTTCTATTGCCATGGAACAATATCAGTAAAGATATTGCTTTTAATGTATTTGAATTTTTGCTGCCTGTGGATTCCTCTAAGATTTTTATGGTTTCCCATCTTACATTTAAGTCTTTTATTCATTTTGATTTTATTTTTGTGTATGGTGTAAGTTGGTGATCTAGTTTCATTTTTTATTTATGCATGAATCTATCCAATTTTCCCAACACCATTTATTGAAGAGACTGTCTTAACACCTTTGTCAAATATCAATTGAGCATAGTAGTTTGGGTCAATTTCTGGGTTCCCAATTCCATTGATTTATAAGTCTGTTCTTGTGCCAGTATCAGGACGTTTTGGGAAAGTAGCTTTGTAATACACTTGATATCTGGTAATGAGATCCAACCTACTATGTTCTTCTTTTTTAGGATTGCTACAGCTGTTCTTACCATCTTTTTTTAATGTAGTGGTGGTGGTTATTGGTGGTGGTGGTGGTGGTGGTGGTGGTGGTGGTGGTGGTGTGTGTGTGTGCTTAATTTTAGAGAGAGGATGGGAGAAGGAGAGAGAGAGAATTAAAGATCAGCTGCCCCTTGCACACCCCCAATGGGATCCAATCAGGAACACTGGAATGTGCCCTGACTGGGAATCAAACCAGTGACCTTTTGGTGCAGGAAACGATGCTCCAGCCACTGAGCAACACCTGCCAGGGTTACAGTGCCTTCTAAGAGAGTATCTGCAAGGCTGATGGGGAGTCCTTGAGCTAAAGTTACCCCCAAGATGAAAACCATTGCTCACAGCATTAGGCTTATTTCAGATCCCTGCTAGGAGCCTGTGGGACTTCTGTGCAAAGCAGGTGGTTCATTCACCACCTTCCATCAGTTACGTCCCCACAAAGGAGACCTAACTGGCACATATTTATAGTGGCCACACCTGGTATAGAAAAACATGCAACCATGCAAGGTGGGAAGTTATAACTTGCAAAAATGGCCATTAGCTTTCTCACATTTCTACAGCTCCAAACATATCTCTGTAAGGAAAATCCAGGATGAAATTGTGGCAAGTTTGGGCACCAACCTAGAAATGTAGTGATATAGATAAAGAATTATAAGGATATAGTGAGCTATTTACCTCACAGAAGCCCTCCCAGGGGAAACTTCTTACTTACAGGAACAAGTAGACACTACTTCATGTTGAGAGTTGTTTCCCAGGGTACCCCCCACTGTAGAATAATGTCCCCTCCACTCATCCTTCTCTTTTCTATCCATGACAGATGATCCAACACTACCAAGTCCTGGCCTCTCAGATGGGGCTATTGCTGGCATCGTGATTGGCATCCTGGCTGGCGTAGCTCTGATAGCAGCCCTGGTGTGCTTCCTGTATATCAGAAAGACTAGAGGGTATGATGGCCTTCCCTCTTGTCCTGCTTCCTCCAAGACTGACATCCATGTTTGGGAGAGGGAAGGAGATTTCCCCTCTATCTCTGGGTCTTGATCTGCTCCTCTTGCTTCCTAAACCTCTGTTTCTCAGCAGTGATTTCTGAAGTCTCATGGTTATTCCCATCTCCATTTGGTTTAGAGCGGGCAGGTGTGATTATGTTCCTTTGTCCTAGATTCAGAGAAACCAAGGTCCAAGAAAGAAAACAAAACCATAAATGAAGAGAGGAGTAGGAGAGAGTTGTGTGCTCTGTCAACCATAAAAAGAGGAGAAGAGAGGGGCAGAACAGGAAGAGAACCTTAAAAATACATGAAACCAGCCTGGCCTGTGTGGCTCAGTGCTTGAACATTGACCCATGAATCAGGAGGTCACAGTTTTACTATTCCCTGTCAGGGCACATGCAAGGGTTCAGGCCCAATTGCCAGAACAGCACTTGCAGGAAGCAGCTGAAGAATGATTCTCTCATTATTTATGTTTTTATGTCTTCTCCTTTTCACTCTCTAAAATCTACAAATATATATATATATATATATATATATATATATATATATATATATATATATATATATATATTTAAAGCCGAAACTAAAGGCCTTTTGGGTAATAAATGAGGAATGAAAACAGAATCAACAAAGTCAGAAGGTGCCCAGGTAGAAATAGGCTCAGAAGCAACTGATAAAGAATAGACCTTTGTGCCCTGGCCAGGTGGCTCCATTGGTTGGAACATGGTTCCATAGAAAGGTTGCAGGCTACATTCTTAGTCAGGACACAAACATACATTGAGGGTTCTAACACCTGATGGTTTTCTCTCTCTCTCTCTGTCTCCTCTTTTCCCCCTTCCTCTTTCTGAAATTAATAAATATTAGATGAAGATTTTAAAAAATGGGATGGACCTGTGTGAACATTATTGCAGCAGCAAAGGAGAACACACTGGAAGGGGCAGTGGGTACATTGAAGAGGAGCCCTAGGAGGAAAGGCAATAATGATTCTAGTATAAATGAGCTGAAAGTGTCCTTCCTACTTCAAAGACCAAAGTACCTATGCTTGGGAATAGCAGTCACAGTCTCTGATATTTGTTTAGGGTAGTGGTCGGCAAACTCATTAGTCAACAGAGCCAAATATCAGCAGTACAATGATTTAAATTTCTTTTGAGAGCCACATTTTTTAAACTTAAACTATATAGGTAGGTATAGTGTTATTAACTTAATTAGGGTTCTCCTAAGCTGGCCTTTGCTAAAAACTCAAGGGGCCAAAGAGCTGCATGTGGATCTTGAGCCGCGATTTTTTGACCACTGGTTTAGGGCAAGGTACTAGCGTGATCACACAGAGCACAAACCCTCAGCCTCCAACCACAGTAAATAAAACCATCACCAGTGACAGCTGGTGTGTCCCACCATGCGCCCTGCCCTAGCAGGGAAACCTGGTCCCAAAGACTCAGTGCCTTCTGAACTTTTAGAGGGGATGTCCATTTCCCAACCTTAGGTTGCCATAGGTCCTCCCACCCTTCTAGTCACAAAACATTCCCCAGAGACCCAGCCCTGGGAGAGACTCACTCAGCCAGACCTGGCAGGCCTGAGTAAGATGGCCATGTTTTCCAAAGCCATTCCTCACCTTACCCCTTCCCCTCCTCCTCTATTAGGGATGTGGGCACTCTCCTTTGGTGAGACTTTCCCTCTCTTGTGGTGCTCTGGTTCCTCTAAGTACTGCCCCTCCTTGCCACTGGTGCCTGTTGCTGAGAAACACAACTGGACAAAACAATACCTTGTGAGCTGGGGGGGAAAACAGATTCAGAAGTGGACTGAGGCCTCCCTGTCACTAATCCTGCCCCCCTCACCCCTTAACCCCAACACCTCGTGCTGGTACTAACACCATGGGTCTGGACCACAGACTCTGAGAGAAGCAATTTCCTTAAGTTATCAAGGGCCACATCCCACCTTCCTCCCATCACCTGCCTCCTCCTTTAGCTAGAAATCACAACAATTTAACACTAAACCTTTAAAGCTCTAAGTCATCTTAGCATTTTCATGGATTGCTAACTCTTCTTTCAACTCCCAGGTGAGGGCCACTCTGACAACTCACCTAACAAGGTAAGCCCAGCCAGTTTCACTGGCTCATTTTCTCATGGACATACCTCTATAGAGAATGGGGTACTCTTGAAGACAGAAGTGTGATCAAGTTTGAATCAAGGTTCCTCAATGTAGCAACAAACCAAGAAGTATTGGTTAATTATTCCCATGGGTCTACATCATGCAACAATGTGAGCTCTGGAGTTAGTCCCATCCTGTGTTTGCATCCTGGCAGTAACTCTTAGTTCCTCTGTGACCTTAGGCAAGTAACTTAATTTCTCTGATCCTCACCCTGTCATCTGTACACACGAAATGCTGCATACTTCAGAGAGTAGCTGAAGGAATGAAATGAGATAACACATGCAAAGCACCAGCACTATGCCCAACATAAGGAAGGCACTGGATCATTCTCCCTCCTCTACCTTCAATCTGATCCTGTTCTCACTGTCAAGGGATAATGTCCATTCCAATGGGTCTGAGGTCTTAGTTCCTTCATTTATAATAACTTTACCAAGCTTCTCATTTAGCCTTTCAGTGGAGCACACATATGTGTTGAAAAATGCTTAAAGCATATGTATATGTTAACAATGTATAAATGATGAATTGAGCATACCCTTGTAAGCAGCACTGAAATGAAGAAACAAAACATGTCATCTTCCTGCAAAGTGAAACCTTCCAGTCACTTCTCTACAAAGAGTAACCATATCCTGACCTCCAATGCACTAGATTATTTTTGCCTGTTAATGCTCTTACATTAAAAAACACAGTATGCCCTTTTACGTGTGTTGTTTCTTTCATTCAAAATGGTTTCATGAGACTTATCCATAATGTTGTAGTCATTTGTAGTTGTTCATTCTCATTGTGGTACCCTCTTCCATTGTATGAATAGTATAATCTATCTTCTAATGGTCATTCAAAGGATGTCAGCAAGCAGAGAAAACAGTAAATAAAAATCCTCCAAAGCTAGAAGTTTCCAAGTGGTGAGAGCAGGTGCTGCCTAATCATAGGAGGCAAGGTAGGGGCCTGACCTGGGACACTGATTTAATTGACCACTTCTCATCCCTTTCAGATCTAAGAAGTTACATATTCTTTGCTGAACTTCAGTGGCCAAGAATCAAAGAAACCAACGTCAGCCTCCCCATCCCCAACAGCCACAGAACCAGTTTATTCAGAAGTAAAAAAGAAGTAATGCAACCAGCCCTGCTCACCACACTGCTGACTGATTCCAAGTCTCATCTCCATCACTAGGAGACTCCTTTGTCCTCAGGGAAACATCATATAGAGGGAGTGGAGTTTACCAGGCTAATTGAGCTTCAGATTTGGAAGAAGGCATCTACTTGCCTGCTGTGTAGTAGATGGGTTCAACCCATAAGGACAACTGTAGCTGTCCCTACAGCCCTCACCTTGAAGACACAGAACTCAGTTTCTTCCTATATGTCTCTGGCATCCCTGCACCTCCATGCCACTGTCCCTTCCCTGCAGCCCAGTGTGAATGCCTGCAAGTGATTGAGTCTATGCACAGGCCCTTTAAGAGGATTCCTGGATTTCTGGCAGCCTGCCATTTCACTTAGCCAGACAGAATCCCCACTGATTTACACAGTTAGATATTCTGGGAGCTCCTCTTTCTGGCACTGGTGCTCCACACTGGGGAGCCCCATGTGGAGCTCAGACCCCTCACTCCTCCAGTGTGATCTCTGCAGCTGATATATCCCTCCCAATTGTCTATCAGCTCACATGCGTGGGGCCAGCACATTTTGTGTCTCTACCCCTCCTACCAATGTCAACATGGGTTCTTCTTTATGTTCTTAGTTATAGGATTTCTGTTCAGTCATTCTTCAGGTGGTCCTCTAGGTTGATTGTTCTATAATTTAGTTGTCCTTGTGATGTCATGGGAGGAGGTGAGCACAGTGTTTACCAAATCCACTATCTTGATCAGAATCATCTAATATCCCACTCTCCCACTCTAATATCCTATTTCTTTGGTGAAGTGGTATGTTTTGGGGGTTCATTAAGTCACTCCTTATCCAATATTTATATTACAAATAATCTTTTGTACATAGGAAATATGTGCCATCTCTGATATCATGATTGGGCCATTCATTTGGAATAATTAAGGATACCACCACCGTGGACTTTTCAATTCCTTTTGAAGGTTATTGATGTCCTCAGCACCTGGCTAGTGGGATTAAGGCAAATATGCCCAGTCCCACCAAGCTCTGAGCTCAGCCCTCTAAAATTACCTACTAAAACAACTGTCAGAGGCACAGGATGTGTGAAGCCCACTGATAAAAACTTGCCCACAAAAACTTCCCTCTGCTACCTAACAGCCTCTTGCCACAGGCTCCCTGGTCTTCACTCAGACCTAGTGCATTTACCATGACCTTCTTTGGCCTCTCAATCCCCTTCCAAAACCTGTCCATAGTAATTAAAGTCTCCATGCCAGTGACATTTCTGAAACCAATTGCAGGTACCTGTGCTTCAGATCTCACCCATGTTTTAACAAAGGGGGCACTGGGTCCCCAGGTAGGTAAGCCTGTTTCTTCACCTTTACAGTGGAATTAGAGAAGTGACAGTATCTATTTAATAAGGTTGTAGTCAGAAAGATTCAGGTAAAGCACAGAAAATATTGGACCTGAAGTACTGGTAAAAGTACCCTTGATGTCGGCTTCCCCACAACATAAGACAGTGGAATGAATTAAATTGAGATCACACAAAAACAAGGTCCAGTGCAGAGATGCTCCCTTTTAAATTCCGCATGACGAGGTACACGTGTGCTCACACGCGTGAGAGCACACATGCATGGACGCACACACACACAACTTGAATAAATCGAATGCCAAGATTGTTCTATAATTTAGTTGTATCTGCTGCCCCTTTTATGGTCAGAGAGAGAAATTACACTAGCATTCTTCCTCTTTCCTCCTTATTTACCAGTTTACAAAAGGAAACAACTGCTGTGCAGTGGAAAGTAGCTCAGGTCTTCAAATGTCTCAAAATTCCCTCAGCAGGAAAAGAGATATGCAGGGGAGGTAAGAGGGATTCATTTATGGCCCCCAAAATTTAACCTCTAAAGACCAGTTTCTTCCTTGAAAAATACTCTGGTGAGGATTTGAATGAGATCCTACTACTAGCACTGCAAGGGTCACATACCAAGTAAACAATAGGAAACATGTTCTTTAACCACCCTGATGAGACTCAGCTCTAATTCATAAGTTCCTTTACTTTAAAGGGAAGGAAACTGAGGCCCAGAAAAAGGGGAGAGATTTGGCCAGGGTTTCTCAGTCAGTGGCTGAACCCAGGCTAGCACTCAAGTCCCCACAGGAAGCAGGAGGAGAAAAAAAGTATTTGGGTTCCCCTGGTTGCTTGGCATGACAGTCACTTTTCCGGTGATCCTCCTGCCTCCACACCCTGCTCCTGCTCACTTCACCATGAGCAATGCCCACTGCCTGCCCAGCTCTCCACCTCCCTGGACATGTTTGGCCCTCCTAACACATTGCATACTTCCATAACCCTCATGGACCACAGGACAAAGCAAAAAGGCAACTGTGTGACTTTATTTGGTTATGTGAAAGGGTCTGGGTGTTTGGCTGGTCCAGTTAAATAGTCCCTAAAGGCAAGCAGGAGGCCTGAGAGGATGCCCCAAGAAGGATCCTTGCACCAGCAACCTGGGACTTCTGTAAGATGTTGAGGGCCTCAGCCACTCCCATGGTCCCAATATAGCTAAAATCTGCTAAAAGTTTTTGATATTCACATGCACAGCCCATGAGGAGGAAGGTGGTATTGAGAAGCCCTGAAAGAAAGGGTGGGGGGGGGTGTCAGGGACACTTTCAAAACTCAGATGCCCTGCCCCTCCTTCCAGACACCCCTCACAAACCAGGACACCTGCTCTCCCATTAAAGACTTGGAGACCCGGCATCTTACTTCTGCAAATTCATGTGCCTGATGCATGCAACCCCAAAACCCTTCTCCAGATCACATCAGCCTTATAGCATCTGGCATCAAATATGCATTTTGTTGTTGCTGTTAATCCTCAGCCAAAGATATTTTTCCATTGATCTTTAGATACAGTGGTAGAGAGGAGAAGAGACACTGAGAGAAAACATTCATGTAACATAGACACATCAATTGATTGTCTCCTAAACCGGGACTGGGAATAGAGCCTGCAACCCAGGTATGCAGATTTGATTGGAATCAAACCCTGGAACCTTCAGTCCTTGAGCCAATGCTCTTTCTATGCAGCCAAATCAGCTGAGATTAAAGAAGGTGGTTGATAAGGCTTCTCTTCTCTCAGCTTTATGAAATTTTCAGGTGGAACTGTAAATACTCAGGGACACTGTAGGGTAATATGGCAGGTTATGTTGAAGAAACACAACCCCTTGCAGTCTTATTTATTTATTATTTTTTTATTTTGCCAGTTAAAGATTTCAGAGAGATAATCCCTGGCTTTAAATAGTTATGTACATACAAATATGAACAATTTTAAAATATAAAAATACCAAACCTTGGATTTTAAGGGGGCCACCAGGAGCCCCCTTTTCCTTCCATTCACCCAATGGTAGAGGTCATGTATCTGATTTTTAAAAATTAGTTTGGCCATCCCTGCAGCAACAAGCATGATGTCAGGTAGTTATCCACAAGGTGGCAGTCAGTGGAAAAATTCAGAGTTCCCACTCTCTGAACTCTATTTCCTATAATTAGGATTACATGCTTTCTTTTCTGCCTTTTAACTAATATATTGGGATAACTACTATATCCAGAAGGGAGCCATGAAATGGGTTGAGAAATAATATAGGCTCATAATTTAAAAGAGGGGATTGTTGAGGATCGCAGTCACTCTGATCCTCAATATCTTACAGAAGATGTTGCTGTAGAAGGAAAAGACAAGAAAAAGGCATACAGACCCTAGGGAAATACCCAGTTCCTACAAAATTTTGAAGGCCTTCTCAGCCTGGGGATGATGATTTTTGTCAGGATGAACCATCACTGCCAATTGCCTGTACGCCTTCATTTCAACATCTAATACTGTGGCTTCAACCCCCTAACATAGAAAGAGTTTAGCTCATCTTCAATAACCCCAGCCATGGTCAACAGTTGAGTCACTTCCTCTTCAGGCTGGCAGTATTGACCACTAGCTACAAGTGCATTCTCTTATCTCTTAGAGGTGCTCGCAATGATCATTGATCCTCCAATTGGGCATGGAATATGGAGAAGCAGGACTTCTCAAGTTAAGGGCTGACTGGCAGCCATAGCTGTTTCCTCTGACAACCTGGTGATTCCTAGAGTCCTTACCTCATCCAAGCTGTGTGCAGCGGCTTTTGCATATGAATAGCCTGTTCTTTCACCTAAAACCTGTCAAACTGTACTGTGTCAGAGAGCCCCAGAGCTCCCAAAAGAAAGCCCAAGCCCCTGTTGGCCTTGCTTCACAGCTGGGCCTTGTTTGGGCACTTCCAAACCCCATACAAAAAGGAGGAATCTGCAGATGTCTCTGTTGCTCCAGCTGGGTGTCCCCAGACAGTGTCTGACCTTTCATCTCCTTGAATATCCAAGAGCCAATGTACCCAGTGGTCAGAGTGAGACCACACTGGACTAAAACTCTTCACATCCATAAGAGACACACTCAAGGGGCAGACTCTGTGAGCACCAAAGCCGCACTGAAGCAAGTTTTGCCTTGCACAACAGGTCTTCCAGTGTAGACACAGTTGGTCATCACAGCCCATTGGCTTGGAGGTCAATACTTCCCAGTGATACAAACAGAAATCAAGATTTAACTACAAGACTGTGGAAACAGCTCACAAAGAGGTGTAACAGGAGCATCCACCTCAGGTGACTGGGGAGACTAAGACACTGGGCCCTATAGGACACCAACCACACAAAGTCACTCTATTAACTCAAGGAGACTTAACAGCTACCCAGTACATAGAAACAAACACAAGGAAGCAGCCAAAATGCTGAGACAAAGAAACAAGTCACAAATGAAAGAAATGGATGAAAGCAAAATACTGGATATAGAGTTCAAAACCATAGTTATAAGGTTACTCAAGAATCTTCTAGAAACCTCTGAGAAATTTAGTGAGACCTTCAAAGATATAAAAAAGAACCAATCAGAAATACACTGACTGAAATAAAGAATAATATACATAAATCCAACAGCTGACTAGAAGATCCCAAGGATCCAGTCAAAGATTTGAAATACAAAGAAGCAAAAAACACACAACCAGAAAAGCAAAAAGAAAAAGAATATAAAAATATGAAGATAGTGTAAGGATCC